TTTCCTTTTCACTGATCTCTGGTATTAAGAGATGTCTTTCCTCAGGCAGGGGGCAAAACAAACCCAGTAGGTGGGGAGGAACCCCGGGAGAAAAGGGGGATGTCTTTTATATTGTTCAGCGCCCCCCCCGTTCTGTAACATTATCAATGGCCCTAGGCATTATCACGCCCTGAGGGAAGCTGAAACTGTCAGGTTTCAGAATTTGCTCCTGGCCACACAGCTAGAAAGGGGCAGAACTGGGAAAGCTCTGGCTGTTAACCGCTTTGCTCTGTGGCTCCCTCTCCTGAAGGCTGCCGAGTTTTAATGAAAAGCAGGGTTCTGCTTGGAAGAACTGACAACCCAAACTGACTTTTAAGAGACTCAATAGGAATTCCAAATGTCACCCAAGGGTCTGCTTTCCTGAACCATCAAAAGCCAGAAAGGGCCCTACTGTGATGAACTAATAAAGTATTATTATCCCTGACACAGCCTCAGTATCTAGGTCAAGCTTAAAGATATCTGTTACTTCTAAAGCAAGTTTCCCGCCCCCTCACACCAGATTTTACTTTCCTTTTATTTTTCCTCCTACCAGCATATGTTGAGCACCTGCTATTTTCGGTGCCTTGCAATTTAGCTGAGCTATGGGGTGCAGAGCTGGATGAGGGTTAGTGCATGCCCTAGAAGAGTTCACTTGGCAGAAATAAACAAAATGATGATAATATGATACTTGATAAGTTGCATTTATGGAGCACATGCTGTATGCCTGGTGGCCCTATGCTGGACAATGTTGGAGGGTAGGGAAGGCCCTTGGAGAGAAGGGGAGGGTAGGGAGAGGAAGAGAGTGATCAAAGCAGAAAGCTGTTACCCAGAGGTGATGGATGGGGGTATGTGTTTCATTGTCCAAGTACACTAGTTCTTTGGACAGGGCACTTCAGATTTTTCTTGAAATCTAGATAGCTGCCTAGCTCCCTGCCCCCTTAGCCATCTGGGCCAAGGCCTCTGCTGACAGGTGTCTCTTTCCCTGGCCTGCCTGTAGCACAGATGTGTAATGGCTGTGGGGGGAGGAGGAGTATCATAGGAGAGAGATACCAGAGTAGGTCAGGATAAACAGGGGAGTGTGTGTGTGTGTGTGTGTGTGTGTGAGAGAGAGAGAGAATACCCCAAATGCATCTCATCTGACTATACATGTTCTTGGCCATGAACATGCATATGGGAGCTCCACATGTATTTCCTATGTAACTTACCCAGTTGTGTCTTGTGTCTATGGCTGTCTGTCCAATTCGTGTTTCCTTTTTTGTATCTGTGTGTTGGTACTATCTGCTTGGGCTACTCATCTACACTGGGCTCTGTGTGTGCGTGTTCTTCAAATGTTTATGTGTCTGCTTTGTAATGCTTGTGGGTAATTAGTGTGTTTATCCGTCTCTTCTGTGTGTGTCACTATGTATGTCTTTCTTCTCTGCCACTGTGCTTCTGCCCTTGGTGAGTGGCTGTAGGTATATGTGTCCTCTGGGTGTTTCTTTTGGTGTCATTGTATGTATATTATCTGTTTCCCTTTTCTTCTTCATGCAGCTTTAGGTGTATTTTCTGGATTTCCTTTAACAATAGGAAGAGTATTCTCTGTTTTCTGGTTTACCTGGTTGTGCACCCATCTATGTGCTCCCCACCTGTTTTTTCTCTGACTGTGTAACCAGAAAAGACACCGGTGTTCAGGCTGCCTGTCACTACCAAATCCAACAAACAATGACAGAGATTGAATCTTTTATGGGCGTTTTATTCAGATGGCTGGTGATCTGAGAAGATGGCAGGTTCATTCCCTAACAAACCATCTTCTCTTCTCTTTCCAGGCCAGATCTTTTATAAGGGGGTGGGGGAGGACAAACAAGGTGCAGTGAGGACTTTGATATTCAGAAGCTGCAACATTCCTGTCCTAGGCAGTTAGCTGTTTCCAAGGGGGAGGGGTGGTCGTCAGCTCTCCCTGGAACAAAGGTTTGGTTGTCCCCAGGAGGTAATCCTCTATCAGTGCCCCAGGAGGTCGGCTGCTTTTCCCAGGAGCCAGGATGGACCTTATCTATAGTTTCTGAAACAAAAGCTTAACATACACATTACTTGCCAGATTTACAGCTTTTTACCTTAAGCTAAAATTTTCCAAGTCTTGAGTCCCCTATCAACTGGATTCGTAAATAGTTGTTTGTGTACATGGCTGCGTGCAGCCATCTGCTTGAAGGCAGTTGTGTGTCTGTGGCTGTGGCTTCTCTATCTTTATAATCCTGTCTGCTGTATTTCTCTCTGTGGCTAGAGCTGGATGTGGTCACATATGCTTACAAGTTCACACATGAGTTCATATCCACACAGATCATTATAGAGCCTGAATGTGGACTTTGGCCTCTGGGGCCCTCTGAACCCTGAAGTTTGTGTGGCAGACACTGAATCTGTGCATGGTGTTGTCAGCTGTGTGAAATTGATAGGGGACTCAAGAGTTGGAAAATTTTAGTTTAAGGTAAAAAGTTATAAGCCTAGCAAGTAATGTGTATCTTAAAGCTTTTGTTTAGGAAAGTACAGATAGGGCTGGTCTAGGCTCCTGGGAAAACAGCTGACCTCCTGGGGCACCTGCTAAAGATTACCACCTGGGGACAAGTGGATGCATCCTGGCCTTTGTGTTCCAGGCAGAGACAGAAGGCCACTGGCCCCTGGGAACAGCTAACTGCCTAGGACAGGAATGTTGCAGCTTCTGAATCTTAAAGCCCTCACTGCACTTTGTTTGTCCTCCCCCACCCCCTTATAAAAGATCTGGCCTGGAAAGAGAAGGGAAGATGCTTTGTTAGGGTATGAACCCACCATCTTCTCAGATTGCCAGCCATTTGAATAAAGCGCCCATGAAGATTCAATCACTGTCATTGCTTATTGGGTTTAGTAGTGACAGGCAGCCCGAATGCTGGTGTCTTTTCCAGTTTCAAAGTCAGATTTATTTGTGTACTTTGTGTGAAGCTGTGAGCCTGTGTGTGATTTGCCTTTTGGTTCTCTTGAGTGTGGCTGTGAGTCCAGGGGCAATGATGTCCATGAATCTAAAGTGGCTCCATGTGAGCCTTTCCTTGTGCCACTGTATGCTCTCTGGGTGTGGTCTAAGGCTGTGGGTGATGATGCCTGTAAGACTAAGTCATTCCATGTGGCTGTATGTTACTACTGTGGGCCTGGGCTCTCCGTGTGCAGTCTATGTGTATTCATATCTGTCAGCGTGTATTCTGTGTATGTGACTGTGAGTCTGCATGCAATTTTGTTTCTCTGGTCCTGGCAGGGTAGCTAAGTGGGTTGGAGCACTGTCTCGATCCTCCAGGGCTGTGGGTTCAGCCCCTGGTTAGGGCACATACAAGAAGCAACCACGAATGCATGGATGGGTAGAACAAAAAAGAAATCGATTCTCTTTCTCTCTCTCTCTCAGGTAAATTTTAAACATTTTTTAAAAGTTTGTATCTCTGTGGGTGATGGGTGTCTGCCTCCATCGCTGAGCCCCTGGATGGAACTGTCATCCCTGCGTGTGGGGGAGTCTCTCTCCTGCAGTGTTGAAGTAAATGCCCTATCCCTTGCCTTCCTCCAACTGCAGGCGGGGTGGAGGCATCTAAGTTAACTTTGAATCCCAGCCAGCCCTTGGCCTTTCTGGGAATTCTGTGTTTCCTGTGGGGGATGGCGGTGGGTGGGTGGAGGGGCCCACACAGAGGCCTCTTGTCCACTTGGGCCTCAAGCAGCCCATTAGATTTGGGCCAGAACCCCAAGTCCATCTCACCTGATTCCCTGCAGGAGACGCATACCAAATTGCCTCAGAAAGACGGGCTGTTACAAACCTGGTTGGAAGTGGACAGGATTTCCCTCCCCGCCCCGCGCCGCCCCCGCCCTCCATCTAAGACAGACAGACAGTGGAGCTCCTCAGTTATAGTGTGAACAGGCCCCATCCAATGCCAGAAGCAGAAGGAGGGAAACTGAATTATAATTCCCAGAAAACAAACACACAAGCCCGCAGGCCAAATGGGGCCCAGGCTGCTCTGATTAGTCCCTGAGCAAGCACCTCAGCCGCCAATTGGCCGCTGGGTGGGGTGGGGCGGGGCCAGGTGCCAGTGAGCCAGAGCCGCTCTCGGCTCTGGGGTCCCCCAGCCCTAGTCCGAATTCTGCCACTTAAGGAGCTAAGGGAAGCAAGGAGGTGAGGAGAGGGTACTGGCCATTGGGGGAGGGGGGTAGCTTGGAGACGCCAAGGCATGAGTGGGAGTCCTGGGAGTGAGGGTTGAGGGATTTCTGGAGATTTTTTTAGCACTAGTGGAGAACTGAATGGGAGGGGGAGTCCTTTGGTACCTTGCACCCAGGGAGTGAATTTAGGAGTGGGTAAGAGTCCTCAGAGGGTGCTCACGGCTGAGGATGGGGCTCCATGGGAGTCCTCCCCGTCCCAGGAAGGGAATTAAGGGCTTGGGGAGGGGGTCTCCTGGAGGCAGTTTTAGCAATGATGGGGGCCTGGAATGGGGGTTTCTGGGCTACCGCATTTGTAGGAAGTGAGCTCTGGGATGGTTTTTTTTTTTTTTCTTCAGACATTCCACCCAGAAGACAGAGACTGTAGGCTGGCCTGGGGATCAAACAGACACCCCTCTCATCCCGGAAATGCATCAAGTTCTGGAGGGGGCTTCTGATGAAAGTCTCAGAGACAGCTTATCCTCAGGAGGGGAAATTAGAGCTCAGGCCAGATTCCTGAGACACCCCAAGTCCAGGAAGGATTTCAAGTCTGGAAGTGTCCACAGCTACTTCTGCCAAAAGGAGTTTAAGACTTGACAGGTGGCCTAGAAAATACCCTTGGTCCCTAAAAGGGGGATTATGGGGAGCATTCCTGGGTCACTTCTGTCCCTGGAAGGGGGCTTAGTTGGGGAATTGTCTCTGACTTGCAGAAAGGATATTCATGGTTATGGCAGATAGAGTTTGCAGTGTCAGGGCTGGGGTCTCCAGGCATGTCTCCACCCCTTGCCCAGTCTATTGATCGACAGGTTGCATCAGCTCTGGTCTTGACTTCGGGCCTAGGAGGGAAGGAGGGCGGGTAGGGGGCATTATGAGAGGTGGAGCAGTCTGCGGACAGGTGTCCCAGCAAGGTGGGAGGCCTGGCAACATGGTGAGGGTGGAGGGAATGTGTGTGTGGGGGGTAGTGTGCCGACCTGGAAGACCTGGGAAGGAAAGAGGCAACAAAAAGAGAGAGTCTAGTGTCTGGGAGAAGAGGCAATTGCAGCTCCAAATGGCCATCACATCTGCTGTGGGGCTGGTCTCTCTATTTCTGTCTCTCCTTTCTATTTATCTCTTCATGTCTCTCTGAGTAACTGTTGGTGTCTTTATCCTTCTGATGCCCTTTTCTCTCTTCCATCTCTTCCTCTCAGCCTCTCACTCATCTTTGATTCTTTCCATTTATCTCTCTGTCATCCCTCTGTTCCTGTTCCCCTCACCTCATCTGTTTGTGTTTCTCTACCTGTCTTTATATGAACCCCTACCCCTTCATCCAGCTCTTCCACTTCGTAGGCCCCCTGCTCCATCTCTGACCCCTGCCCCATTTCTCTGCCCACAGAATGGAACTGCAAGGTCCAAAGATGGAGGGAGCCCTACCTACGGGTGCTGTGGGGTGAGTCAGAGCCCAAGGGGTTGAGGTCAGGGGATCAGGACTACCCTCTCATCAGCCCCAATTTCTCTGCCCTCTCCAGCTACACGCAGGAACGCCAGGGCTTTCTGCCCAGCCATTGTCCTGCTCCTGGGAGGGAGCCAACCCAGTTCATGGATGTGAGTGCACAGGATCTGTCCCAGCTGCACCTTGTCTAGCTCATCTCCTTCCCTACCCTTCCCTCTTCCTGGCTACTACTTCTCCCCAGCTGTTCCTCATCTCTAGCTACTCCCCTCCCCAGTTGTTTTCCTTTTTGCTCTACCCTCTTCTCTTCCTCTCTACTTATAGATGCTCCCCTCCAAAATGTCTCCTAGATTTTCCCTTCCTGGCTCTCCCTCTCCCAGTTTCTTCCCATCTTCAACTCCTTTTCTTTGCTAATTTCTTGGTTTCTCCTCTGGTCCTTCTTGGGCTTCTTCCTGCCCCAGCCTTTCCAAGGCCCCAGAATTGGTCTCCATACCTGGTCTCCCACCCCATAAGTGCATGGGCCTTGTTCCTTACCCAGAGAAGACACAGTGTTCAACTTCAGCAATGCCACCATGGGCAGCGGCTTCCTGGGGCTGGCCTATGCCATGGCCCACATAGGGGTCCTCTTCTTGTGAGTCCTGGGTGGCCTGGGGGGCAGGGGTATTTGGGGGCAGGCAGGAGGTCTGGGGGGTCAAGTTCGAATTGTGACATCTGCCTCAGAACCCTGTTACTGTGCATTGCTCTTCTGTCTTCATACTCCATCTCCTGCTGTCCTGTGTTGGTGTTGTGAGTCCCAGAGCTCAACTCAGACTCCAGACTCACTCCCCTGATCTGAGACCCCAGATTCCAACCTAAACTCCAGACTCTGGACATACCCTCACTCCAGATTCTGGACCTAGGACCCCAGACCCGACACTTAAATCCTTGTGGTCTAGACCTGAGACTGCACCCTGGATCTCAGACCTATTTTGGGCTCCCAGACCCTCAATTCCCAGTCCCCAACCCTCACCCATTATTCTGGTCATAAATTCTGTTGTTCAGACCCTCTCCACCTCCAGACCACTACATTTGAGCTCTAACCCCCACCACTTAGTCTCTAGCCACCCCCAACTATGGAAGCTAGCTGTACAACCCCGAGACCCAGTTCTCAGAGCCCAGCTTCCAAGTTCCCAGTGCTTCAGATCTTAGACTTCACTCCCACCATGGTCTCAGACTATGTATATGTGACTTGCTCCCAAGACCCCCACTACCCACCTCCAGTCCACCTCTAACCTTCTCCCTGGCCACAGTTCCTGGCCACGGATCCCACCTCACAGATTCTACCCCCAAGCAAAATCCTAACTGCTTAACCCTCACCCTTAGCCCCCATCAATCAGACCTAATTACAAGTCCCAACTCCCCAGTCCCCAGACCCTCTGACCCTGACCTCAATCCTAGTCTGGCTTCCTGGACCCACAACCTGTTCCTTCCTGTCCCCTGCCTCTCTACAAGTGTCTGATCCTAGGAGCAGCTGGGACAGAAAGCACTGGGGCCTATGGGGAAGGTAGTGGTGACTATAGTTGTCTGTCTGCCCAATGTTGGGGGTGGGGACTCTGGGAGGTGAGGGTCACCTTGGGGGAAGGGAGTGGGATGAGGTGGGCTTCCCTGGCTGGGCTGGGGAAAATGGGGTAGGGAGACAAGGGGAATCCTTTTGCTTGCACTTCCCTCCTCCCGCACCGGCCATGTGGCTGGTTCACACCCCTTGGCTCTAGTTCACAGGCCATTGACTACCTGTCAGGTCTGGCTGCTGTCTTCAACTCTGTCTCTCAAATGTTCTATTTTGAGACTGTTGGGCAGTCCAGTTTGGTCAGGCTGTGATTCCTGTGTGACTGTTGCTCTGACTATAGGAGTCCAGTAGACCATGTGTGTTGATTTCTGTGACTGTTATTCTGGCTGATTCCATCTGGTGGCTGATATGTCCAGTGTGCTCTGATGCTGAGCATGTGACTACTCTCCAGTAGCTCTAAACTCTGTCTGTGGGTTTGCCTTTGTGACTGTTGTACTGTCAGGTTCTCTGATCAGCTATATGAGAGCCAACTACAACTGTGCCTGTATACTATGATTCTAACCATGTGTGTTTGACATTTGTTTACTTTTTCTGTCTGGAAGATTCTGTTTGATTCTGGGTCTATCAGGCTGGCTGAATCTGTCTCACTATAAGTGTGTGGTCACTGTCTCCAATGGGGTGTGTGTGTGTGTGCGTGCTGTGTACTGTCATGCTAGCTATGTATATGTGATTTGTTCAAACTGTATGTGCCAGTAGACTCCCATCTATGTGATGATAGAAATTTAGTGACCATTGTTCTGGCAAATTCTCTCTGGCTGTGTGTGTGATCGTCAACTATGATTGTACATGTCCTCTGTATTGTTCCAACCATGTATGTTGGATTATTGTTCTGATTATGCATCTACATGACTATTTTTGATTCTGGATCCATGTGCTGGCTGAATTTGTTCAGAAATTTGTATGTGATGGTTGACTCTGTGTGTCTTGTTGGATTTGTGGTTTGATTCTGAAACCATCCAAGCAGGTGACAGTCTATGTGCCCAGCAGTGTCTAATTATAATTAGCTCCCACTCTATATATGGCCAATGATGCTTTGTTGATTTATTCCTGTGTAACTGTATGTGTGAGACAGAAAGAGAGTGTGTGAATGCCTGGAACATAGTAGGCACTCAATAAAATTCTTTTGAACAAATGAGCAGTTGTTCAGCTGAATCTGTATTAAATAGCTTGCCTGCGTACCTCCCTCCAATATCTGTATAGATCTCACTCTTTCTTTCAGCTTGGTTTCAATATTGTGGCCAGCTGGCTGATTCACATGGTCTCTACTTCTGTCTTTGGCCATGTGGCCAAATGGGCCCAGGTGTTCAACAAACCTTGAGCTGTTTAAACAACCACACATGTGCATTTCTGACTTTTTGTCTGACTCCCCATCATTGCCTGCCTGCCAGATCATCAGACTGTTGTTCTACCTGTCAGACACCAGGGTCATGGCTCACTCTGTGCCTGGCACCTTGTATTGGATTATTTGAGTCTGACTGACTTGGGGTATTGTTTTTCCATCAGGTTGTACATCCATTTGTGAGTCTGACATCACAGTTTTGTCTAGCTCTGCATGTGTTCTCAAATGTATTCCTCTGACAGTATCTGACTTATAGTCTGATAATCAGTTGGCTACTTCTGTAACTCTTGTTGTGCCATCACTGTAACCACACCTTGTTCTTGACGAGAAACTTCCTCCTCATCATCATTGTCAGAGTGTTAATCATCCTGCCACTGGCCCTCATGAGATACTTGGGTAAGAAGTTTCCTGAGTTGATCATTGGATAGTGGGGTTAGAGAATGGGAGACAGATTGAGAGAATACCCGTTTTCAACTGCTGTTCCACAGCAGGGGAGAGCTTGTTTGATGTGGGTTTTTTAAAAAAGATTTTATTTATTCATCCTTAGAGAGGGGGGAAGAGGGAGAAAGAGGAGAGAAACATCAATGTGTGGCTGCCTCCTGGGCATCTTCCACTGGGGACCTGTCCTGCAACCCAAGCATGTGCCCTGACCAGGAATTGAACTGGTGATGCCTTGATTTTCAGGCTGGCACTCAGTCCACTGAGCTATACCAGCCAGGGTTGATGTGGGTTTTAACAGATAACTAGGAGTTTGCTATGGAGGGGAGGCTGGTCCAGGTAGAAGTAAAAACTTATGCAAAGGTGTGGCATAATTAGGGTAAGGGGTCTTGAAGGCCAGACTGGGGGTTTAACATTTGCTGTAGGGGGGCCCCCTGGATTTTTTAATATCTGTGTTATTGACCCTTGCAGGCTACCTGGGATATACCAGTGGTCTTTCCCTGACCTGTATGCTGTTTTTCCTCATTTTGGTGAGTCTGAGAGAGAAGGACTGGAAAAAGTAGAGAAAGTTTGGGACATTGGGACACAGTCTTCCCTGTGACCTCACTTCCCCACCCTCCCTCCATCCCTCAGGTCATTTATAAGAAGTTCCAGCTTGGCTGTGTTGTGGGTCATAATGAGACAGCAGTGGACAGTAAGAGCACCCTGAGCCTTCCCATCCAGGAGCTCAACAGAAGCTGTGAGGTCCAGTGGTTCACAATGGACTCACTAGGTGGGTGGACAGGCTGATAGGGCTTGTACCACACTCAGGCCCTCTGGTCCTGTCACACAGTGTGCTTTTCTCTGAGTTGGAGACAAGTATTGGGTATGGGGGGCTTCCAAGTTTCTTCTCTTTTTTTTAAGCATATTTTATTGATTATGCTATTACACTTGTCCCAATTTTTTCTCCCCTTTATACCCCCTCTGCTCTGCATCCCCCACCCTCCAGCATTCCCCTCCCCCTTATTTCATGTCCATGGGTTGTACATATAGGTTCTTTGGCTTCTCTATTTCCTATACCATTCTTAACTCCCCCCTGCCTATATTGTACCTACTAATTATGCTTCTTATTCCCTGTACTTTCCCTCCCCATCCTCCTCCTCCCCCCTGAAACCTTCCATGTGATCTCCATTTCTCTGGTTTTGGTCCTATTCTTGTTGATTGCTTAGTTTTTATTTTTGTTTTTTAGAATCAGTTGTTGATAGTTGTGAGTTTGTTGTTATTTTACTGCTTGTAGTTTTTGATCTTCTTCTATTTCTTAGATAAGCCCCTTCAACATTTCATATAATAAGGGCTTGGTGATGATGCATCCCTTAAATTTGTCCTTATCTGGGAAGCACTTTATCTGCCCTTTCATTCTAAGTGAAAGCTGTGCTGGATAGATTAATCTTGGATGTAGGTCCTTGCCTTTCGTGACTTTGAATTCTTCTTTCCAGACCCTTCTGCCTGCAAGGTTTCTTTTGAGAAATCAGCTGCTACTCTTAGGGGCACTCCTTTGAAAGTAACTCTCTCCTTTCGTCTTGCTGCTTTTAAGATTCTCTCCTTATCTTTAATATTGGGTAACTTAATGATGATGTGCCTTGATGTGTTCCTCCTTGGGTACAATTTCTTTGGGACTCTCTGGGTTTCCTGGAAGTCTATTTCCTTTGCCAGACTGGGGAAGTTTTCCTTCATTATTTGTTCAAATAATTTTTCCATTTCTTGTTTCCTCTTCTCCTTCTGGCACCCCTATGATTCAGATGTTGGCGTGCTTAAGGTTGTCCCAGAGGTTCCTAAACCTCTCCTCATTTTTTTGAATTCTTGTTTCTTCATTCTCTTCCAGGTGGATGTTTATTTCTTCCTTTTGTTCAAGATCATTGATTTGAGTTTCCTTCCCTTCACTGTTGGTTCCCTGTATATTTTTCTTTATTTCACTTTGGGTAGCCTTCATTTCTTCCTTCATTTTGCGGCTGAGCTCAATTTTGTGAGCATCCTGCTTACCAGTGATTTGAACTCTGCATCAGATGGGTTGTCTCTCTCCCTGTAACTTAGGTCTTTTTCTGGAGTTTTGATCTGTTCTTTCACTTGGGCCATATTTCTTTGTCTTGGTGCACCTGTTAAGTTGTAAGGGGGTGGAGCCTTAGTTTTTGCCAGGGTGGGGCAACCCTCTTTGCTGCTTTGCTGTGCTGTCTGTGGGAGAGGGGTCAAAAAGGGAACAATACCACTCACTCCCTCTGTTTTATCCCATTTCCAAAAAACTGTTCTGTGAGACTGGGAGTTTCTTCTGCCTTTGCAGCCCCCATAGTATTTTACAGCTAGATGTTTGAGTACTTAGTTTCCCCTTGAGCCAGCCCCTACTTGCCTATAACGTCCATGGCCTTGCCTGGGTCCTCTCCGCTCGTCCTGCTGCCCTTCTCCACCCCTCCTACCAGTGTGGATGAATGTTTCTTTAACTCCTTCATTGTCAGAGTTCCATGCAGTTTGCTATTCTGGCAGTAGTGGTGGTTTATTGTTTTTAAATTGGTTGTTATCCTTCTTTTGGTTGTGTGAGGAAGTGAAGCATTTCTATCTATGCCTCCATCTTGGCTAGAACTCATGTTCTCTTTTATGATGCTAAAACCTCCCTTTGGCTGATTTTATTTTATTTTATTTTTTATTGCCCTTTTGGCTGATGTCAGAATGTTCACAAATAACCTAGTTCTCTCTTCTCATCAGACAACTGCACAATCTCATTCCTGTGGTCAGACTTTGTCATTTGATGAGCCAGTTCATGCTTAGCCATACACTTTTTTCTCTCTGCCATGGCACCTGTTTAGCTGCTCTGTGTCCCTGGGTCCTGGCATGAGGGTGTTGATAATGTGAAGAGCCCTAGTTCAGCTGAGATGGACAAGTAGCATGAGTAAGAAATAAATGGTGGTTGTCTGTCATTTCAGCATAACTCAGTTGGCTCTGAGCCCATATCCCTCCTCACCAGGAGAATGAAGCCTGATGTGAAATAATAGAAAATACATATTTTGGCCTCTTCTGTTGCTGGCACAGAGCACCTAAAACCCTTGTAACTTCCTACATGGAAAGAACACTAGGAGCATCTTTTGTTCTAATGAGGCAACTCTGGGTGGCTCATGAATGGCTCCTGGGTGGGTGCTGTTCACCAGAAAGACCAAAGCATGATTACGAGCTTAGAACTTTCAGCTTCCCCCTCCATTTTCTGGAGAAGGAACAGGAGCTGGATATGGAGTTAATGATGGATCATGCCTACATGATGAAACCTTGATGAAATCTTAATAGTATAGGGCTCAGGGAACTTCCAGATTGGCGAACACATCCATGTGCTGGGAGAGTGACAGAATTCCATGGGACAGAAGCTCCTGTGCTTGGGACCTTTCCAGACTTCATCCTACATATCTCTTCATCTGGCTGTTCATCTGTATCCTTTATCACATTCTTTATTATATAATGCTCAGTAAACATAAGTGTTTTCCTGAATTCTTTGAGCTATTCTAGCAAATGATCGAAATTGAGGAGGGGTCATGGGAAACTTGGGTTTATAGCCAGTTGGTCAGAAGTACAGGTGACAACCTGGGACTTGCAATTGACATTTAGGGTGGGAGAAGCAGTGTTGTGGAACTGGGCCCTTAACCAGTGGGCTCTGAGGTAACTCTGGTGTCAGGATTGAACTGAATTTTAAGACACCCAGTTGGTGTTGTAGAGAAGAGATTGGTATGAGAAAAACCCAAACATCTGCTCTCAGAAGTGTTATGAGTGTGGTAGTAGTGTGAGAGTAAAGGAGAAACACAGGAGTGTTTTTCCCAGACAACTGGGATACCTCCCCATACACCCCACCCCTGGTCAGGCCTGGACCAGGAGATCAAGATGTCTCCAGCTCACCATTTCCCAGGATACTGTGGCCTAGAGAGAAATCATGAGGCCTTCTTGGCCCTTCTCCATAGGACTGAGAGCAGGGGGTCACCTGATGGACACACACTGGGACTGAAGGGCTTTCCAAGCTGCAGGTTGTAACTCATGAACAGGTTAATGGAATGTTTTATGGAACCTGAGCAGAATTTCATGTTTTTAATGAATTAGAATGGGATAATCTAGCACATTACAGAGCAGAATAGAAAATATAAAAGTATATCATATGTACAAAGGGTCAGCATGGTTTCATGAAGCATTTGTTTTAAAATCATTGCAAAAATGTCATTTATTGTGAGTCTTGGTGAATAATACTAAAAAGTTTCCTCCTGTGATGCACGTTCTGTTCTTTCTCACATGTTGCTGCATTTCCCAATTGTCTGCTAGGAAGTGGGATTAGCTATAGAACCAGTGTAAAAAATTATTGAAAAACAAATGAAATAGACAAGAAGGTTTCAGCAGTCATTTTGGACCCTCATCAGAAGAGCACATGCACCCACAATGGGGTCCCAGGCTTGGATGAGGGGAGAAAGCTAATTGGGGATATGTTTGGGGCCACGTGCAGGCTTATTTCTGGAGTTAGGCAAAACTGTACTAGCCCTTCATGTCAAAGTTTGGATCTGTCACATGGAGGAAGGGGAGGAGGAAAGCTCTATCTACCCACAGAACCTAAAGGAAAAATGTTCCCTGTTGTGACTACAAAGTATTTTCAAGTTGCCCTTAAGCATCTGTCTCCCTTGCTGGACATCCAGTTGGTGGGAACCACCTTCCCAATGAGAAAGAAAAGTGAAATTTTTCAGGATCTCTTTTGGGTATTCTATTCTGTATTTGCATGGAGAATAATGTACTACACAATGTCTATTAGCAGAGTATTAAATCTGAGGAATGTGGAACTATATTGGGGTAAAAGAGAATTTGTTTCTGCTGAGGCACAGGTAGAGCAGCATCCTCATTGACCTGGGTAGCACTCTGCTCTCACTGCTCTGCCATGTGGGGTGTGCTCCTAGTTCTGGGGGACCTTGGCCCCAAGTAAGGTGACCCTTCACACCATCCTGACACTTTCTCCCTTTGGTGGCTATTAGAGCCCACACTGGGCCCTGGAACTTCTATGCCCGCCTGCCCTTCTACACACCCTGTGCATCTGTGTCTTCCCCTGCCTCCACCAACACTGGGACCCTGCCTCTCCCTCTCTGGAAGCTTCCGCTCTGGAGCTTTTTCATCTTGGAAAACTGACCCCACATCTCCTACCCTGATATCTGAGGCAGAATACAGAGCAATTCTGTCTCTTCCCACACACTCCACAATGGACTATTCCAGCTCCTGACTGTGATGATCTGACAGAGTAAAAGGTAAGGTGTCCAACCAACTGCAGAAACCTGTCTCCAGATGGTGGTGTACAGAGTCTGTCTAGTAAAAACTGGAAATATCCTTCAGTAGAATGTCAAGTTCACATGGGCAGAGACATTTCTCTGTCTTGTTCTCTGATGTCTCTTCAGAACCAGGGACAGCGCTCAGTACAAGCCCATTAGGTGTTAGCTGAATGAATGAAACCTTTGACACAGCAATTACACTTCTAAGTATGTGTACAAATGAACCAGTTACACATGTACATAGGCTGATGTGCACAAGAACGAGAGGGCAAACAACTGGGAAAAACTTGTGTTTATTAACTGGCAGTGACTGATGCTGGGAAAAGAAATAATGGGGGTTTGAAACACAGAGCAGCTACCAAACAGGAAACAGACTAAAAGGGACATGGCCAGGACACTCCTTTAGTGGAGAAGAGCATGTGGGAGATGTTTATAGTTGCACCCCGTGTGTGTGTATACAAGTGCAGAAGATAACACCCAGAATCCAACCCCCAGAATTGCCTTATCAGTCAGGTCTGGGGAGGGGAGGGTACGGATCTTTTGTGCATAGATAACTGACAATGCTTGTTTCATGAGGTAAGTGCATGAATATATAGACAGAAACAAGCATTAGGTATATGTGTTACTCATTAATGAAACTCTAACATCTAACAATATTTGGCACATAGCAAGAAACATGCTTAACTTTATTGTGAACATTTTCTTTTCACTTGTATACTTGAAGACCAGGAGTTCACAGCTTTGCTTATGTTCACGAAAGGCCGCTATGTTCTGTTTTCTATCATGCACACTTGTCACAACCCTGAATTGGAGGCAAGAAGAGAGAAGGGAAATAAGTGGCAGTGAGCTCCCATTGTCTGATCCATCAATACCTAACTCCTCATCCTGACAGGCAGGACCCCAAGCACTCCAATTCTGCCCTACCTCATGATGTGCACTCATGTACCACTGCTATTCAGAGTGAATCTTCTGCTCCTGCCACAGAGACTCTCCCTTGGTCTGATTTCCTAAGCTAGAGGACACTGTGGCCTATAATTTGGGAGCTGAGCATGGGTTAGGAGCCCAGGGCATCAGAGGTGGGAAAGATCCCTGGATATACAAAACAATGAATAGAAAGAACATGGGAAGCCTTATTTTGTCTCAGTGCTGCACTCCAAGGGTTTTGGCAAAGGAACAATTTTAGGGGAAGGAATGACAGATGGCATACCAGTCCCATAAGAACAGTTTTGCACAGGTGGGACCTGGTATGAAAGCTCACTTACACAGTCATCTTCCTCGGGGTCACTGATCTCTTCATACACAACAGGGTCCCTTCTTTCTCTCAGCCTGTGGAGCCATACATTAGTCTTCCCTTTCCCCAATCCTGTGATAAAGATGTGTTGGTTAATAAAGTTTTCAGATAAGAAGATGTCTCCTCCTTCACAAGGGTCCATGAGCCTTCTTCCACTTGGTCTGTTGCCCACATCCTCTAGCTCAGAGCAACTGAGATGTTAGACTCACACAAGTATACAACAAATGCCTCCCACTATCAGGTTTAGATTCCCAAACTCTTTAGTTACAAGAACATTCATTCAGACTTTTCAGTATACATTGTTTAGGGCATATTGTGTGTCAGGCATTGAGCTGAGGGCTGTGGATACAACTCTGAGTAAGATGTTTCCAGGTTATCATAGATGGAATTACTTGAGCACCATTCATATCTTGAGTCATAGCTTTCATTCAATGTCTTCAAACGATTAATTTTGATTCTTCATTTCCATTTTATAAAATAAGAATCTGGAGCTCAGAGAATATGGATGACCAGCCCACAGCAACACTGATTTTATGCCAATGAAAATTCAATCTGTGACTTTGGAAGTCCTGTTCTCAGCTCTCAGCTGCAGCTGCACAAGCTTGAGTCTAACTTGGACCTGGGCCCGTTCAGGATCCAGCCCTGATGGCAGTGCATCCAGAGAAATTGTTCCTCCAAATTCCCTCCCGGCCCCCGCTTACCTGGCATCTGCTTTCTGGGCTCACCAGAGGCACTCACTTTTCCCAGGGGGTAGGGCTGTTTCTGAGCTGGCTCTGAGTCTGGTGTTACTGGCAGTGGGCTTCAAGTCATTTCCTTCCCTTGTTTCTTTCATGAGCACCACCCATTTCATAGGAAGGTCACATGTAAACAGTGTCAAAGCCATTTCTCTGGTGCTTTAAAACTTACAAAGTGTCTTCATGTGCAGTGCCTTAATGAATATTCTCCACTTCTTGGGGAAATTATATGACCAGTACTTCAACTGTGAGGAACCAGGGCAGTTAGAAGGAAAAGGAATGGCCTAAATGACTAGAACACTTGACTTCATGCTATTTCCAGACCAGCACTGTCACAAACACAGGAAGGCAGAGGAGACTGGTACTTCTTGTGAGAGTGAGTGTCTCAATGGAAGGATCAGCAGCACGTGGGAGTAAACCCCTGTGGAGACAATCTGAACTTCATAAACATAAGAAAATGACTATGAGCTTGGAAATGGGTCAGCGATTTGGATTAGACTACTGTCACTGCCCCTGTGGTTTCAGGGAAATTATTTAGCATCTCTGCAACACCACATCTTCATTATTTCAGTTATTATGTGCTATTATTTTTATTAATGTCCACCAAATTATTTGGATATAATAGTAACTCTTGTCATAAAAGTTTTCTTATGGATTATGTAAATTAATTCATCTGAATTGCTTAAAATAATATCCAGTATCACTATGAAGACAAAAGAAGTACAAGCTATCACAATATTCTCCCACTCTTATCATATTCACATACATGCAGGGAGAAAGGCTCTGTGGTCCTTCAGATTTGAAAGATACCTTCATGTGTTTTCTTGGTTGGACTTTGGAAGTCTCCTGAGGGTGTTCATTGAAATGAGTGTGATTAAGCAGAGTTCTTTGGTGGATAAAGTTCCCAAAGTCCATGGAGATTCCTGAAGTACCATGGAATTCTGAAGCAGATGGTATGAATCCACTCACCGTCAAGGGGTTATTTTGAGCTTGGCTTCTGAATCATCTTTAATAATTATTTATTGATGGTATAAATTCATAACTTTGTTCATGATGGTTTCTGATACAAGGTAAACCCCATTACTGCCTCATCCCGTTCCATGACATTTGTTACTCTTTTTCTCCAAGAACTCAATAGGTTGGGAATTTGAACTGTATCCACTTAAAGATGTGTGGCAATTAGAAATCACTTACACTTAAAATAGACAAATTTTATAGAATGCCTATTATACCCCAATGAAGTTGTTAAGTGTGTGATGAAGTAGGGATGATTTAGCCCATTGGTTCTGGGAGGTTTCCAGTATAAAGACACCCATCAAATGTTAAAAAATTTTCACTGGATTTTCAGTCCCCTGACATTGATTTTTGGAGCTTGTGGAATTGGAGACAGTATGAACATTCTGACCCTCTTGTGACTGTACTGTCAGAGCAGAAGAGCAAGTGAACACATCCGTCCTCTTTATAGTGAGTAAACACACTGTTACCATGCACAGAGTTTTTGTGAATCTGTCACTTCTTTCACTCCATGTGGCCTGCTCCCTGACAAATAGGAGAGCTCAGTGTGTGTGGCATTGTTCTCTCAAACCCTCTCCCAAAGTCAATATATAGAATTGGGTTCAGTTAAGAGTGAGAAGATCATTCTGTTTGATAAAGTTCAGGAAAATAAGTGAATGTCATTACAAAATACCTTAATCACTTTGTCTCTTTCAATGCTTATCTAAACCTATGTATTTGGTATTCTAAAATTGACTCTGGATGTTTCTGGAAGATTTACACTTTAATCAAATTTTTTTTTAATTATTGGGTGGTTCATGAGGTTATTCAGCAGGAACAGTAACTCCTTTAAATGAAATATTTCAAACTCCAGAAAAATACAGAGGATAATATTAGAAATGTGTGCACATCTGTGGCTGAGCCCAGTCAGATCTTAACATTATTGCACAACTGCTTTAGATTGCTCTGAGCTCCTTTATTCAAAATAGATCAAAACATTCTGAACAAGTCACAGCTGATACCACCTGTGCAGCCCTCACCGATCCCTGTCGGCCCTCCTTATTCACTCCTTGACACTTGAATTTGTCGAATTTTATTCTCATTCAGTTTTGTATACATTTATTGTTAATTTATTATCTACAAAACATTATTGCTATTTTGTATGTTTTAGGATTTTATATGAATGGCCTCTGATTGTACATAATCTTCTGCATCTTACTTTCTTCACTCAGCAGTGATCCTTTCAGGAAAAAACCTCCTGAGAATCTTTCCTGAGCAGCTGAACCCTAAAACAGTCAGGCTTTAGGAGACACTCTCCAGGCCCTTCCTGTCACTCACCCTGATTCCTGGGGTTCTGATCTTCATTAGAATCATGCTCAGGAGATTTTGTGGTCTGATTCTTAGGACGCATAAAATCTGGGAGGTGGGCCCTGAGACCTGGGAGAAGCAAAACATTTGTTCCTTAAGAGACAGCCTGAGAGGAGCATGGGTGCTGGGGGTGCAGCAGGGACAGTAAAGGTTATGGGGGGATTCAAACGGGGGCCAGTGGTAGTGAAGCGTGGGGAACACAGGTCTGAGCAGCTCCGTGGCAACTCCTGGCCCTGAGCCCTGTTCAGAATACAACAGAGCAGAAGGTTCTGGAGCTGCCCTGGGATTTCTCCCCACAGAAAAGGAAAGAAGGGGACACTGGCTGTAGCCTAAGAGAAAGCCATGGCATGCAGAGGGAAAGAGGGATGGTCTTGTGTTCCTAGGTCTATTTGGACCTAGAACTTCCTGTTACCTAGCTGAGTCATGGTGTCATAGTTTCTCTTCATGTACACATGGGTGATTTTCTCTGAGTTTCCCAGCTTTGCCCACTGTTCCTCGGAGAAGTATTTGCAAATATCCACGAAGGCCTAAGAAAGAAAAATAAATCTTGGCGGTGTCTCGGGTAAAAATATCTGACATTTAGCCTGGCCTCTTCCTCCACTGCTGGACCTGTGTGTTGGACCTGTTACCTGCAGCTAATAATTCTTCCTGGTTGATGTCACCACTAACTGAGAGAACAAGGGTAACAGTCCTTAGCCTCTCCCCTGGCATGCTGCAGGTGCTTCATGTGGGTGGTGGGCTCTGCTCTCATCGTCCAGAATGGACTGTCAGTTACCAAATGCAGTGCAAGGTTACAGGCCTCATCTCCAGGGATGCTGGGAAAGTTCTGAGTGAGGGTGGGAAGCTCCTAAGGCTCTGGATAACCACCCTGACACCCTCTTCTCTATCCTCACTGCCTTTGGCCTAATGTCCTCAGAAATCTAGCCACTGTATGGTATCCCCAGGCTACCACTCTTCCCCCTCTGGATCACCTTACCTTGCATTTCTCTTCTGATTTGACTTTACCCTCCATGGTTTTTTTTGCAGAGGAGCTTCCTGTGTTCATGGCTGTGGGAATCATCTGACCTTGAAGGGACACAGCCTGAGTCTCACCAGTCACAAGGCCAAAGGTCCTGTGGGTGAGAAAGCACTGAGGGAAAACCATACTCAGACTGTCACCAGGAACAAGGTTTTACTTTTCTCCACCCTTGGCTCATTTGTCCGTGAGAAAGGCCATGGGGGAATCCAGGTTATGACAGGGGCCATAGGTCTGTGGGAGAAGGAAGGATGGGGGACAGGCTTTCTGTGGGCATGACCAAAGGAGCCTTGAGTCTTTAAGGAAGTCTGGCTACTGTTGTTAGTAGTTTTCCTGGAGTTTGGCTTATCCTGAAGGAAAAATCAAAAGGCCCTTGTTGGGGAAGCAGTGAAGTGAGGGTGCTGTGTTACTGAGAGGGTGTTTTGTGTTAACAAGGCCAGGGAAGGTAAGTCTCAGAGATCATATGGTTTGGATATTGAAGTAGAGGGATGTGGGGTTTTTCTCTACTGAAAAGAAATAAGGACCACTAATATGAGTGGATTTGGAGACTAATTCTAGGTTATCTGGAAATTATTACTGTAAAGAGAGCTGTAATTTCTGAGATGACAGAACTAGGCATCAACCTGGCTGAGATGTAGGGAATTTTAATGCAGAAATGAGGGCATTGAGAGTCTCTCAAATGGAGGATATTTTTGGGTTTCTGAGGCCAAGAAGTTTGTTGCTTTAACCCAAGTGCTTATCAATAGACCAATGGATAAAACATGGCATGTAAACATATATTCACTCAATATCAGATCATTTAGATGCATAAAGAAAATCTTGGTGGACTTTAAAGACAAGATCGAGAGCAATACACTCATGGTAGGGGGATTTAACACCACACTGTCACCAATGGATAGATCTTTCACATAAAAAACATCAACAAGGAAACAGTGACCTTAAATGACACACTACATCAAATAGATTTAATTGATATTTAGAGAACATTTCATTCCAAGGCAGCAGAATACATTCTTCTCAAGTGCACATGGATCATTCTCAAAGACAGACTACATGGTAGGACACAAAATAAGTCTTAACAAATTCAAGAAAATTTAAATCACATCAAGCATTTTCTCAGATTACAAGGGCCTGAAAATAGAAATCAACCTCAGTAAAAAACTCAAAACCATTCAAATGCATGGAGGCTGAATAACATGTTATTAAACAGTGAATGGGCTATCAGTGAGATCAAGGAAATCAAAAAGCACCTGGAAACATGAAAATGAACACACAATAACCCAAAACTTATGGGACACAGCAAAGGCAGCCCTAAGAGGGAAGTTCATAGCAATACAGGCCTACCTAAAGAAGATAGAAAACAAAACTAAAATAAAGAATCTAACCCTATACCTAAAAACTAGAAAAACAACAAAGCCCAGGGTAAGTGGAAGGAAGGAAATAAGATCAGAGCCAAAATAAATAAGAGACTAAAAAAAATTTAAAAGACCAGTGATCCTAAGAGCTGGTTCTTTGAAAATATAAATGAAACTGAAGAATCTTTAACCAGACTCATACAGAAAAAAAGAGGACCCAAATTAATAAAATCAAGAATGAAAGAGAAGTAATAGCTGATACCAGAGAAATGCAAAGGATTATAAGAAAATACTATGAACAACTTTATGCTAAGAAAGTGGACAACCTGGGCAAAATGGATAAATTTCTAGAAGCATACAATCTTCCAAAACTGAATCAGGAAGAAGAAGAGAACCTGCATAGACTGAATAGACATTTTAACAACTAATGAAATGAAAGCAGTAATAAAAAAAAAACTCCCAACAAATAAAAGTTCTGGACCAGATGTCTTCACAGCAGAATTTTACCAATCATTCAAGAAAGAACTAACACCTATCCTTCTCAAACTATTCCAAATATTCAAGAAGAGGGAAGACTTCCAAGCTCTTTTTATGAGGCCAGTATTATCCTAATCCCAAAACTAGGTAAAGACACAAAAAAGAAAGAAAAGTACAGGCCAATATCCCTGATGAACATAGATGCTAAAATCCTCAACAAAATAGCAAACTGAATCCAGCAATACATTAAAAAGATCATACACCATGATCAAGTGGGATTTGTTCCAAGGATGCAAGATTGGTACAATATTCACCAATCAATAAATGTGATATATCACATAAACAAAATGAAAGATAAGAATCACAGTCACATGATCAAATGCAGAAAAAGCATTTGATAAAATTCAATACCTGTTTATGATAAAAACTTGACAGAGTGGGAATAGATGGATCATACCTCAGCATAATAAAGGCAGTATTTGGCAGTAAAGGCACCTGGCTGGTGTAGCTCAGTGGTTGAGTGCTGGCCTGCAAATCAAACAGTCACTGGTTTGATTCCTAGTCTAGGGGACATGCCTGGGTTGCAGGCCAGGTCCCCAGTAGGGGCATGCGAGAGGCAACCACACATTGATGTTTCTGTTCCTCACTTGCTTCCTACCTTCCCCTCACTCTAAAAATAACATCTTTTTAAAATATAAGGGCCACATATAAAAAACCTACTGCCAACATCATACTCATGGGGCAAAACTAAAAGCATTTCCCTTAAGATCAAGAACAAGACAGGGATGTTTGCCTTCCTACTCTTATTAAACATAGTACTGCAAGTTGTAGCTACACCAATCAGACAAGAAGAAATAAAAGGCATACAAATTAGAAAGAAGCAAAACTGTCATTACTCACAGACAACATGATATTGTACATAGAAAACCCTACAGGGTTCACCAAAAAACTATTAGACCTAATAAATTTGACAAAGTAGCAGGATACAAAATCAATACTCAGAAATTAATAGCATTTTTATATACCAATAATGAACTATTAGAAAGGGAAACTAAGAAAACAATCTTGTTTACTATTGTGACAACAACAAAAAAATAAGGTACCTAGGAATAAATTTAACCAAGGAGGTAAAAGACCTGTACTTGGAGAACTATAGAACACTGAAGAAAAAAACTGAGGAAAATACAAATAAGTTGAAGCATATACTGTGTTTATGGATTGGAAGAATTAACATAAATAAAATATCTATTCTACCCAAATCAACCTGTAGACTCAACACAATTCCTATTAAAATATCAATGGGGAGTTCCAGCCAAGATAGAGGCATATGTAGAAATGCTTCACTTTCTTGCACAACCAAAGGATAACGACCAATCTAAAAAACAATAGTCAGAAGTGCCAAAAAAATCAAACTGCAAGGAACTCCAACAACCAAGGAGTTAAAGAAACATTCACCCAGACTGACAGCACCACAATGTGGAAAAGAGGGTTGCATCACCCTGGCAAATACCTAAGGCTCGGCCCCCTTACTACATAACAAGTGTGCCAAGACAAAGAAATATGACCCAAATGAAAGAATAGATCAAAACTCCAGAAAAAGAGCTAAGGGACAGGGAGAGAGACAACCTATCTGATGCAGAGTTCAAATCACTGGTAATCAGGTTGCTCACAAAATTGACTGAGTTTGGTTGTGAAATGAAGGCTACCCAAAGTGAAATAAAGAAAAATATACAGGGAACCAACAGTGAAGGGAAGGAAACTGGGACTCAAATCAATAATCTGGAACAAAAGGAAGAAATAAACATCCACCTGGAAGAGAATGAAGAAACAAGAATTCAAAGAAATGAGGAGAGGTTTAGGAACCTCTGGGACAACCTTAAGCACGCCAACATCTGAATCATAGGGGTGCCAGAAGGAGAAGAGGAAACAAGAAATGGAAAAATTATTTGAACAAATAATGAAGGAAAACTTCCCCAGTCTGGCAAAGGAAATAGACTTCCAGGAAACCCAGAGAGTCCCAAAGAAATTGTACCCAAGGAGGAACACATCAAGGCACATCATCATTAAGTTACCCAATATTAAAGATAAGGAGAGAATCTTAAAAGCAGCAAGACGAAAGGAGAGAGTTACTTTCAAAGGAGTGCCCCTAAGAGTAGCAGCTGATTTCTCAAAAGAAACCTTGCAGGCAGAAGGGTCTGGAAAGAAGAATTCAAAGTCACGAAAGGCAAGGACCTACATCCAAGATTAATCTATCCAGCACAGCTTTCACTTAGAATGGAAGGGCAGATAAAGTGCTTCCCAGTTAAGGTCAAGTTTAAGGGGTTCATCATCACCAAGCCCTTATTTTATGAAATGTTAAAGGGACTCATAAAGGGGCTAAGGAAAAGAAGATAAAAAACATGTATAGTAAAATGACAGCAAGCTCACAATTACTAACAACCACACCTAAAACAAAAACTAAGCAAATAACTAAAACAGGAATAGAACCACAGAAATGGAGACCACATGGAGAGTTAGCAACAGGAGAGTGGGAAGAGGAAAGAGGGGTAAAAGGTACAGAGAATAAGTAGCATAGATGGTGAGTAGAAAATAGGGGGAGGGCAAGAATAGTATGGGAAATGTAGAAGCTAAAGAAATTATGACACATGGACATGAACTAAAGGGGGGGAATGTGGGTGGGAGGGGTTATGCAGGGTAGAGGCAAATGAAGGGGGGTATGGGACAACTGTAATACCATAATCAATAAAATATGTTAAAAAAAACCTTGCAGGCAAGAAGGGGCTGGAAGTAAGTATTCTAAGTCATGAGAGGCCAGGACCTACATCCAAGATTACTCTATCTAGCAAAGCTATCATTTAGAATGGAAAGGCAGATAAAGTGCTTCTCAGATAAGGTCAAGTTAAAGGAGTTCATCATCACCAAGCCCTTATTATATGAAATGTTAAAGGGACTTATCTAAGAAAAGAAGATAAAAAATATGAACAGTAAAATGACAAGAAACTCACAACTATCAACAACTGAACCTAAAAAAACAAAAATAAAAACAGCAATCAACAAGAATAGGACCAAAACCAGAGAAATGGAGATCACATGGAAGGTTTCAGTGGGGAGGGGGAGGTTGGGGAGGGAAGGTACAGGGAATAAGAAGCATAATTAGTAGGTACAATATAGGCAGGGGGAGGTTAAGAATGGTATAGGAAACAGAATTTAAAGAATTTATATGTACAACCCATGGACATGAACTAAGAGGGGGAATGTTGGAGGGTTGGGGTTGAAGGACATAGAGGAGAGAAAAAACTGGGAAAACTGTAATAGCATAATCAATAAAATATACTTAAAAATACCAATGTCATATTTCACAGATCTAGAACAAATACTCCTAAGATTTATATGGAACCAAAAAAGACCCTGAAGAGCCTTAGCAGAGCCTCTTGAGAAAGAGGAACAAAGTTGGAGGGATCACAATACCTGATATCAAACTAGACTACAAGGCCACTGTAATCAAAACAGTCTGGTACTGGCATAAGAACAAACATAGATCAGTGGAACAGAATAGAGAGCTCAGAAATAAAGCCACACCTTTATGATCAATTAATACTTAAAGGAGGCAAGAGCATACAATGTAGTAAAGCCACTCTTTTCAATAAATCATGATGGAAGAACTGGACTAGAACTTGCAAAAAAATGAAACTGGAGTACAAACTTACACCATAGAGCAGAATAAATTCAAATGGATATAAGATTTAAATATAAATCACAATACCATAAAAATTCTAGAGGAAAAACATAGGCAGTAAAATTTTGGATTTCTTTTGTAGCAATATTTTACCAATATATCTTCTAAGGCAAGGGAAACAAAAGAAAAAGTAAACAAATAGGACTTTATCAAACTAAAAAGGTTCTGCATAGCTAAAGAAACCATCAAAATGAAAAGGGATTCCATTGTATGGGAGAACATATTTGCCAATGATACATTGGACAAGGGTTTAATATATAAAATATATAAAGAACCCATGCAACTCAACGCCAGAAAGACAAACAATCCAATTTAAAAATGGGCAGTGGATCTGAACAGACACTTCCCCAAGGAGGACATACAGAGGGCCCAGAGACATGAAAAAATGCTCAGCATCCCTAGCCATCAGAGAGATGCAAATTAAAACCACAATGAGTTGTCACCTCACACATCCCAAAATGGCAACAGCCCTGGCTGGTGTGGCTCAGTGGATTGAGTACTGGCCTGTGAACAAAAGGGTCACTGGTTCAGTTCCCATTTGGGCCACATGCTTGGGTTGTGGGCTGGGTTCCCCAGTGCAGGGCATATGAGAGGCAACCACACTCTGATGGTTCGCTTCCCAGTCGTCACGTTGCAGGCCAGATTCCCACTGGGAGACATGCAGGAGACAACCACCATTGACATTTCTCTCCCTCCCTTTTTCCCTTCTCTTCTCTCTAAAACTAAATAAATAAAATCTTTTAAAAATTTAATAAATCAACAGACAACAAGTGCTGGTAAGGATGTGTAGAAAAGGGAACCCTAGTGCACTGTTGGCAGGAATGCAGGCTGGTGCAACCACTATGGAAAACACTATGGAATTTCCTCAGAAAACTAAAAATGGAACTGCCCTTTGACCCAGCAATTTCACTTTTTGGAATATGCCCTAAGAAATCTGAAACACCAATAAGAAAGAATATATGGACCCCCGTGTTCAAAGCAATGTTATTTACAACTGCCAAGATGTGGAAGCAGCCTAGGTACCCATCAGCAGATGAGTGGACAAAAAAGCGGTGGTACATTTACACAATGGAATACTATGCAGCAGTAAAAAAGGAGTTATTTTGCAACACCATAGATGGAACTGGAGAATAGTATGCTAAGTGAAACAGGCCAGTCAGTGAAAGACAAATACCATATGATCTAACAAGTGTAAGCTAATGAACAAAATAAATTAATGAGCAAAATAGGATCAGAGACATAGAGACGTGGAATAGGCTGACAGCTGTAAGGGGATGAGCAAAGCAGGGACTAGATGAAGGAAGGTGAAGGGATTAGTCAAAGAACATTTTGCATGACCCATGGACATGGACAATGGTGTGGGGATTGATGGTGGGAATGTGGGTGCTGTAAAGGGAGTAAAGGGAGAAAATTGGGGCAACTGTAATAGTATAAAAATAAAATATTTAAAAGACAAAAATGTAGCAGCACCTAGATGCAATGGAATATTACTTGGCCATAAAAAGAGGGAAATCTTTACCATTTGAGACAGCATGGATGGACCTAGAGTGTATTATGCTCAGTAAAATAAGTCAGTCAAAGAAATACAAACACCATATTATCTCACTGATTTGTGGAATCTAAAGAATATAAATGAACAAAGAAAATAGAAACAGACTCAGAGAACAAACTGATGGTTGCTATAGGGGAAGGTAAAAAAGGTTAATGGATTAAAAACAAACGTAGTTACTAAATAGTCATGAAGATGTAAAATACAGCATAGGGAATATAGTCAGTAATATTGTATTAACTGTATGGTGTCAGGTAGGTACTGGAAATAGTGGGGGGAACACTTTGTAAAGTATATGACTGTCTAACCACTATGCTGTACGCCTGAAACTAATGCAAAATCATATTGAATGTAAATCGTAATAGACAAGATTGTAAAATAAAAAACAAAAACAAACAAAAGAAAATGATTGTTGCTTTATTTTAGAGGCTGTAACAAAGAAGTCCTTTAGGTTGAGGCTATTATTTCTGCCTGAGGAAATCTAGGGGCATTAGGCTAATTTTGGGATTTCTCAGGCTGAGGGGGTTTGGCTTCCCTGAGTGAGAGTAATTAGGGGGTCTCATAGACGACAGTTTTAGTTTTTATCTCTGCCCTAAAGGGATTTCCCCAAAAGACTTTAAATCATCCATTTTGCAGATTAATTTGCAGATTATTGGGAGGTACAGCAAAGACCCAACTACTCTACATTCTGCAGAGATTCCCCACTTTTCTACATGATATCCCTCCCCGCTTAATGTGTTTAGGCCTGACCCTCAGAGAGAACCTACCTCGGAAGAAGTGAAGCAGTTGTGAAGGGTTGATTCATGCCGAGATGAACATGTGGCACTCGATCAATCAATCAGCCAATCGACTAACCTTAGCAGTTAGTGAACTTAATTTGGATATCGGAGGTCAGGATAATAGAGTGGGAAATGGAGGTGAGAGGGGTCTATCGGTCCAGCTTCTCAAGCCTAGAATGTCGTTTTAAAATGGGTGGAGACAATAATTTTCCCGCTTGCAAGCAAAGGTTGCATTCTCATTGCAATTGGCTACTCCAAGTTCCGTAGTTTTGTCACTACGCATGCTCAGATGTTCCCTTTCCATTCAGCCTTTGTCCTCCTCCACTCTTTAATGCATATTATTTAATTTTCTTTTTAGCTTAAAAAATTCTAAAGTGTCTGATGTTTATTTAATATATAGATTATAGGAGGCAGGCTACCTGCTCAAATCGTTCCCTTGAGTCTACAACTTCTTCAGATACGGAGTCTTTCCTAGGACCTCCTACAACCTTTCCAGTAAGCAGAGAACTTAAACCGTATGTTTTAAAATCAGCTTTTTATATGTGTTTTTTTCTAGAAGAGTCAATAACCAAAAACATTTTATTTATCCTTTAAAAAAATGTTGACAACATTATATATCTCGGCCATTTCCCCCCCTTTGCCCACCTCCATCCAAGCCCTGCCCATGTCCCCTCCCCTAGCTTTCACTGGACTGTTGTCTGTGTCCATGGACTGTGCATGTATGTTCTTTGGCTAATCTCTCCACCTTCGTTTATTCAGTACCCCCCTTCCTTCCCTTCTGAGTTGTCAGTTTGTTCCATGTATCCATGCTTCTGGTTCTATTTGGTTTGTCCGTTAATTTTGTTCATTAGATTCCACATATAAATCTTATCATATGGTATTTGATTTATTTCCTTTTTCATAATAATCTCCAGATCCATCCATGCTGTTGCAAAGGATAAGAGTTCTTTCTTTTTCACAGCCATGTAGTATTCCACTGTATAAATGTACCACAGCTCTTTTGTCCACTCATCTAATGATGGGCACTTGGGCTGCTTTCAGATCTTGGCTATAGTACATAACACTGTTATGAACATGGGGGTGCATATATTCTTTCTGACTGGTGTTTAGGGATTCTTAGGTCATATTCCCAGAAGTGGGATAACTGGGTCAAAGGCAGTTTCATTTTTAATTTTTGATAAAAGTCCATACTGTTTTCCCCAGTGGCTGCACCATTTTGTATTCTCACCAACAGTTCACTAGGGTTCCCCTTTTCTCCACATACTTGCTAGCACCTGTTGATTTACTGATGGTAGTGATTCTGGCATGTGTGAAGTGATACCTCACTGTAGTTTTGATTTGCGTATCTCTGATGGTTAGTGATCTTGAACATTTTTTCACATGTCTATTGGTCATCTGTATGTCCTCTTATAAAGTAAATCACTTCTGTAGAAGCAAAGATTTCCTGATGTTGAGGTTTCAAGACCTTTCTCAGGTGGATCAGTCTTATCAGCAATCTTACAATAAATACAGGGATAGGATTGCTCTGAGTGTGACTTAAAGTATGTCTTCATGTCAGCCAAATGTGGCCTGCTGGGGCAGAATTTGAGGGAAGTGACTGTTCAGGAAACCAGAGTAGGTCTGCACAAGTGGGTCTCTTATGCTCCAGCTCAATACAAGGATAAAATCTTGATGGTCAGGAAGAATCAGTAATCAGTAAACCTTATGGCCTACAAATTATTTTCCAATACATTTTTTTCATCTGGGATTTCAGCATAGCCTGAGCAACCCATACATCTGCCTTTTTTCTTTTCAGGTGCAGAGTTCATAATGTTCCTGACTATATTCAAGTCTCCCCCTTCTCTCTTTTAAGAGTCTATATTGTTTCGTTATTTTCCCTTTCACTACAAAAGTGATAATCAACCTCTTTTAAGAATGTATAACCATCCCTGGCTGGTGTGGCTCAGTGGATTGAGCACTGGCCTGTGAACCAAAGAGTCGTTGGTTCAATTCCCAGTCCGGGCACATGCCTGGGGTGCAGGCCAGGTCCCCAGCACAGGGTGCGCAAGAGACAAGCACACATTGATGTTTCTCTTCCTCTCTTTCTCCTTTCCTTCCCCCCTCTCTAAAAATAAATAAACAAAATCTTTTTTTTTGTAGATGTAGTTTATTTTTTAAAATATTTTATTTATTTATTTTTAGAGAGGGAAGGGAGGGAGATAGAGAGAGAGAGGAGAGAAACATCAATGTGCAGTTGCTGGGGGTTATGGCCTGCAACCCAGGAATGTACCTTGGCTGGGAATCGAACCTGGGACACTTTGGTTCCCAGCCCGCACTCAATCCACTGAGCTACGCCAGCCAGGGCTTAAATAAACAAAACCTTAAAAAAAAAAAAGAACGTATAAGCAAAAAATAGAAAATAGGATCTCATATTACCACTCATTCCAAGTAGCCAATTTTATAGTGACTGATTAATTTCCTTCTACACACTTCCCCCTCTCTCCTTTGTTTTTTACATTTACATAAATGTATAAACATATAGTTAACATAAGTGTTCCTTTTGCTAAGGTTTGCTCATGATATACAAACTGTTTTTCTTTCTTTGTTTTTTTTTTGTACCAAATTACTTTATTTGAAGGGACAGTATAAATGAAGGACATAAGTGGATGATTTGGTACAAGTTATAGAAAAGGTAAAGGTAATTCCCACAGGCACATACTGCTTCGGTGACCAGGGAAGTCACCCCTGTGGCTGTGGGAAGGGAGCCTGAGGTTTAGTTCTCTTCACTCTCTCAGGTGTGCTTGTCAAAGAGATCCTCTGCCATGCCAGACTCAGGAACCCCTAACCTGTGCAAGCTGGTTATGTGGTCACCCAATTCTCTGATGGATTTCACCTGCTTATTCAAGTAGTGAGTCTCAATGAAGTCACACAAATGAGGGTCATTTTTTTCAGTGTCCCATTTGTGCAAGTCCAGTAGTGACTGATTCACACTTTTTTCCAAGTGTAATTCACACTCCATTGCATTCAGCCCATTCTCCCAATCATCACAGTCTGGTGTCTTGATATCCTAAAAGAAGATTCAGTCACCTCATTGGTTCTGCAGCTTCATCAGTTTCTCAGCATGTTCCCTCTCCTTATGAGATTGGTGAAGAAAATACTCGGCAAAGTTCTTCAAAGCCACATCGTTGAGGTCAAAGTAGCAAGACATGGGTGGGTAGATGTAGGAGGTGTAGAGCTCCAGGTTGACCTGGCGGTTGATGGTGGTCTTCGAGTCCTGGTGGTAGTTCTGGTGTACCTGCCAAATGGACATGGTTGTCATGATGGGCGGCTGAGGACAGATGGCTTTGCGGCACTGGAACAGTGGCTGGGGGCCTTTGGACTGCCTGAGGTCACAGTGAGGTGGCAGGATGGATCTGGGCAGCTGGCTGGGATGGGGGGTTGAGTGCCAGGTTCCATTCAAGCACTATTAAAGCAGGAAACTATGGTGACTCTTGGTAGACTGTCATGAACTATTTTTCAACTCTGTTTTCTTTACACGATGATATTGATAATGGTAGTAATGATGATAATGATAATACAGATGATGATGAGAATGATAATATTTGTGGCAGTAGCAGGAACTAACATGTAATTAGTCTACATTATACCTGGCACTCTACTGTGCATTTTATATACATGACTATCTTAATTGTCACAACTGCTCTCAGAAGCAGGTATCGTTATCATCTACATCTTACAGATGAAGAAATTGAGTCCAGAGTGGATAAGCAAGTAGCATGTGGTTGTTGTACAGCTGGTCACTGGCATAGATGGAATAGTCTTGACTCAACAGAAAATATTTACTATCAGGACACAGAGGTATTTTTAACAGCTGCATATTTTCTCTTGTGCCACAATTTATCAGTCATCCCCATATTCAAGGACATCTGTGTAATTTCTGTCACAGTAGCAGTGATGTTTCTTGTCATCTATCTTTGTACATTGTAGTGAGCATTCTAGAATTTCTGTTTCAAAAGGCATGCACATTTTGAACTTTCATAGACATTGCCCAATTGCCTTTTGAAAAGTTAGTACAAGTTTTCACTCCCACTAATAATGAATGAAAATGCCCCTTCTAATCATTTTGTCATGTTTTAAAAAAAATGCTTATTTTTAGAGAGAAGGGAAGGGAAGGAGAAAGAGAGGGAGAGAAATAACAGTGTGTGATTGCCTCTTGCATGCCCCCTACTGGGAACCTGGCCCATAACCCAGGTATGTGCCCTGTCTGGGAATCGAACCAGGGACGCTTTGCTTTGTAGGCTCGTGCTCAATCCACTGAGCTACACCAACCTGGGCAATTTTGTCATATTTTTAATCTTTGCCATTTGATAGTTGAAAACATCTCATTTCTTTCTTCTGTTTTATTTATTTAATTATTAATAAGTTTGAGTATCTTTTCAGGACAAGCCATTCATATAGAAAAGCCACTGGAAACAGCTTGGGTGTGCTCTCAATTTGGGTGGGTGGGGGTTTCAGTGAATTACCAGAGTGGTGCTAACAGTGTCATCCAGGTTAATGGAGACTCAGATATGGCACTGTCCTGCTGCCTCTGTGGTAGGAGGGCTCAGAAAAGGAACAATGGCCTCTACCAGCACCTCTGTCTGGTAGAAAGCTGTCCCTCAGCTTCTCACCCTGATGTCAGACAGTTCAGTTTCTTCTATATGCCTCTGGTGCCTTTTGAGCTGTTGCCCCAGCACTGGAGCTCAGAACAAGTCCTACTAAGTGCGTGTATGGATCCTTTAAGAGGAATACCTGGGACTCCAAGAGCCCTCTGTCTCACTCAGCCACAATCCCTGCTGTTTTTTACAGCCAGAAGTTGTGGGGACTTTTCTTCCTGGCACTGAAACCCTGGGTTGAGAGGGCCTGGTGTGGGGCTGGGACCCCTTGCTCCTCAAGGGGATCGCTGAAGCAGAGATATCCCTCCCAATTTTTATCCATCAGACATGGTTGGGGGACCAGTCTGTTCTGTGTCTCTGCCCTTCCTACCAGTCTTAATGTGGCTTCTTCTTTATTTCCTTAGTTGTAGGACTTATGTTCAGCTAGATTTCAGGCAATTCTGAATGATGGTTGTTCTGTAGTTTAGTTATAATTCTGATGTGGTTGTAGGAGGATGGGAGTACTGCATTTACCTAAACTACCAGCTTTTTTAAAAAAATATTTATTTATTTTTAGAGAGAGTGGAAGGGAGGGAGAAAGAGAGGGTGAGAAACATCAATGTGGGAGAGAAACATCGATTGGTTGCCTCTCATACACATCTTGACTGGGGACTGAACCTGCAACCTAGGTATGTGCCCTGATCGGTCACTTTGCAGGACAACACCAAACCAACCAAGCCACATTGGTCAGGGCTACACTGCCATCTTGACTGGAAGCCAAGATGTTTCTATTTACACCTCCCATGTGAAATTTACACTTATTAAAATGTATTTCCCTAATTACTTTGAGGCCCTGAAACCCAAACAGATGTGCCAAAGTCTTATAACATTTTCTTATAACTTATAACATACCATTACAGGGTATCCTGTTACCAAACCAGATGTGATTGCCTCTTTGGAGAAGAGGGGACTTTGGATCATAGAGAAAGAAATCTCAATTTATTTTTTTTAGATTTATTTATTTATTTTTAGAGAGGGAAGGGAGGGAGAAAGAGAGAGAGAGAAACATCAATGTGCGGTTGCTGGGGGCCGTGGCCTGCAACCTAGGCATGTGCCCTGACTGGGAATAGAACCTGTGATGCTTTGGTTCGCAGCTTGCTCTCAGTCCGCTAAGCTACACCAGCCAGGGCTTGAAATCTCAATTTTGAATTGTACAGGTAAATAAGAAATGAACAGGTGAGAGACGATGAGAGTAAGATCCCCGTGGACCAGTGAGGGCTGGATATCTTTGAAGGCTCAAAACTATATTCCTAAAGGATTTGAACTTTTTCTTGGTTAACTCCAAATTGTTAGTTTTGTGAGTTACTGTCTGATGGTAATCTTAGAATGACATGGTGCTTATTCTCTTGGTCACCTCAGTTATTTTCAGCTTTCCTGAAAGTCTGTTTTCATTCTATTTGAGTCCCCTCCCTCCAAATCCTGGGTCTACTGCTTTTTCAAAATCCTTTCTTCCTACTCATGGCTTCCTAAACCTATATTCACCTTCTCTCCTGAGTTTTAAGGTATAGTTTCTTAAACAATCAAAGTCACACATTTATTACTTTCCTGTTCCAATTTTTATTAGAGAAATTTGGGGTTTTTTTCCTCCTCAAACTCAAGGTGTAGGATAGACATGTACTTCTGAGTAGTATATAGACTTAAAATAAAAGTAAGCCCCACCAGAGATCTGGTTATGGCAAAGGTGTATTTACAGGGTATGGCTTCTTCTTCTTTCTATAAGTCTGGCAAGTTGATGACCAGCTGGAAAGGCACCAGGAAAACCAAAAGAGACACCTGAGGCAAGCTATATCCATTAACAAGAAGAATGTAACTTAGGAGATAGGTCATGAATGTCATGGATTTGTAAATCCATTTCCTCAGAATACATGGGTGGTTTCTTTATCACCCACACCATATAGAAAAGTTCTACAGATAATTTAGCCTTACTGAGTCCTAATAGAGCTTCATAACACAGGAATGTTGTCAATGTACTGAATGTGGTAAATTATTAATTCAAGGTAGGTATGAGAAAAAGGACAGAGTGAAACCCCATCACTATACTGTGGGTGAGAAAAGTCATAATTATAACCCATTCTTTATTCAGCATAACACAACTCAAGCTGGAAAGGAAACTTATTAATTCATGAGTGTAGAAAAACTCTCCACAAGAATTTACTCTTTACTGCAAGCAGGAGAAAAACCCTATGAATGTGCAGAATACAGAAAAGCCTTCAACAAGAAGGCATACATCAGTGTACATAAGAGAGTGCACACAGGAGAAAAAAACCTTCGAATGTAACAAATGTGGCAAATCTTTCAGAGAGAAATCAACACTGCATAAACATCAAAGAACTCATAAAGGTGAAAACCCATATGAATGCAATGAGTGTGGCAAAACCTTCTGAGAAAAGAGAAAGCTCAATATACATCAGAGAATTCACCCAGGAGAATGTTCTCAGAGTGGGAAAACCTTCAATCAAAAGGTACACCTCAGTGTACACCAGAGAACACACATAGGAGATAAACCATGTGAATGTAATAGATATGGCAAATCCTTTAGAGAGAAATCAACACTATGTAGACATCGAAGAACTCATACAAGAGAGAAACCTTACATGTGTTGAGACAGTGAAAAGCCTTCACCCTTAAGCTGAGTCTCAGTGTCCATCAAATAATTCATATAAGAGAAAAATTTGATGGATGTAGTATATGTGGAAAAGTCTTCTGGGAGTCATAGCTTATGTTACATCAGAGAGCTCATACAGGAGAAAAATTTGAGAAATCCTATGAATGCTGTGAATGCAATGAATGTGATAAAGCTTTCTTCCAGAAATCCTGTCTCATTATTCATCAGAGAGTTCACACAGGGGAAAAACCCCTGTGAGTGTAAATGTATGTGATAAAGCTTTTGTCTGGAAATTATACCTTATTATATGTCAAAGAACTCATATAGGAGAGAAACACTATAAATGTGATAAGTGTAGTAGAGCCTTCAGTGAGAGGTCAAAACTCGCTGTACATCAGAGAACCCACATAAGATAGAAACCCTATGACTGTCCTCAATATGAGAAAAACCTTCTGCCAGAAGTTAAGGCTCACGATGGGTTAAAGAACTCAGAGAAGAGAAAGTTTATGACAACTGAAAATGGGAAATCCTTCATAGAAAAGTCAAAGAAAAAGGAAAAATGAGGTTGGGGATCATGTTTTAGTTAAGATGGTCAGGCAAGGCCTTTCTGAGAATGTGACATTTTGAGCTTAGACCTGAAAATGAGGTGTTAGCCATACTGGGGGTAAGAACATTCCAGGCAGAAGGAATAGCAAGAACCAAGGTCCTGATGCAAAACAACTTGGCCTCTGTACTTGTTATCCTGAGTTTGTACTGACTGACTATTTTATATCAGAGAGATTGTTCAAGTCTGTAATCTTTTGAAGCTTTGAATGTATGAGAGCCTTTAGCTAAAAGCTAAACCTCACTGTAAATCTTGGCACAGTATCAACAGAAACCCACTTTATTTTGATAAACATAGTTCAATGGAAATAATTAGGGAAATATTTCAGTATTAATACTAAAATTCTTATAGAAAAGTTAATAAAATATATTATTAAGAATAGCTGTTTGGCATCTCTCATAATGGGGAATAAGTACCATGAACAA